TGCGCCTCTCCTCCGTGCCGCTCCCCCGGGTCTGCCGCTGGTCCGTTTCAGCAGCGGACTTGGGGAAGCGGTGCGGAGCAGCTCCAATTGTCCAGCTGGCTGGAGCACTTCCAGGTTCCAGTTGGTGCCAGACTATCGGGAGTGCCGGACCACTGGATGCCAGACAATTGGAGTTTTACTGTAAATAACTTTTCCTTATTCACTTTCTCCACACCACTCATGATTTTATAGACCTCTATCATACCTCCTCTTTAACCTCTCCTCATATGGGACCCGTTCCAAACTCCTTATCATTTTAGTTGCCCTTCTCTGAACCTTTTCTAATGCCAGTGTATCTTTTTTGAGATGGGGAGACCACATCTATATGCAGTATTCAAGATGTGGGCGTACCATGGATTTATATAAGGGCAATAAGATATTCTCCTTCTTATTCTCTATCCCTTTTTTAATGATTCCTAACATCCTGTTTGCGTTTTTGTCTGCGCTGTACACTGAGTGGACATCTTCAGAGAACTATCCACGATGACTCCAAGATCTCTTTCCTGATTAGTTGTAGCTAAATTAGCCTCCATCATATTGTATGTATAGTTGGGGTTATTTTTTCCAGTGTGCATTACTTTACATTTATCCACATTAAATTTCATTTGCCATTTCGTTTCCCAATCACTTAGTTTTGTGAGATCTTTTTGAAGTTCTTCACAGTCTGCTTCTGTCTTGACTAGCTTAAACAGTTTAGTATCGTCTGCAAACTTTGCCGCCTCACTGTTTACCCCTTTCTCCAGATCATTTATGAATAAGTTGAATAGGACTGGTCCTAGGACTGACCCTTGGGGGACCCCACTACTTACCCTTCTCCATTCTGAAAATTTACAATTTATTCCTACTCTTTGTTTCCTGTCTTTTAACCAGTTCTCAATCCAAGAAAGGACCTTCCCTCTTATCCCATGACAACTTAATTTATGTACGAGCCTTTGGTGAGGGAAATCTAAGTACAGGCAGTCCCCGGGTTACGTACAAGATAGGGACTGTAGGTTTGTTCTTAAGTTGAATTTGTATGTAAGTCGGAACTGGTACATATTGTAGGGGAAACTCTAGCCAAACATTTCCCCAGAGCTCAGTTTTATTCTCCCACACCTCACTTCCCTCAGTCCTTTATTCTCAAGCTGAGGTGTCTGCTGAGAAAAGCCACTCCG